GTGTTCGCTTGTGCACGAAAGCCGCAGTGATGGCTCACAGTAATTAGAAAGCAAAAAGGAACGTCTGTTTTTGGCCATCAAGGTTTGATGACCCCTTTTTTGACTCGTTATCTTGAATTTGGTTGTGACGATGATACCTTCCCTGCTCTGATGCTGTTCGTCATATGACGAGTGGTTGGACCTTGGGCAGCCTATAGATCCCATATTTGTTCAGATTCTTTTGGTGCCTTTTTCTATTAAGTCCGATGCCCTTGTCTGTAACCTTCTGCAGTTGCAGGAAATCATCCGGGACAAGAATCTGACTCAAATCATGACTGGGTCTAGATTTAATGTCTAAGAACTTAAATTATTTTTCCCTCTCCCTATCGTATGTCTTCTCTAATTTTTGCAAAGAAGCTTGCTATAATATATCATTGACCTTAGCAAAATGATATTTTCTCATCAAATTGCGGCAGCAGATTTTACAGCAGTTATGTAAGGTCAAATGACATAATTGACTTACGATTGTTTTCTTTGAGCTGCTGTAATAAGTGCATTGACTGGCAATTTCAGCACCGTAATTATATCGTATATATAAAAAACCAAGCTGGTGCGGCCTTCTGCTTGGACGCAGTCTCCTTTAACTTTATAGCATTGGTTCGACCTCCTTTTCGCAACTTGGTCGGAGCAACAGAAAGATCTTGTTTGACGTACCTAGTCCTGTATCCTCGCTCAGAGTATTCGTGATATCCAGCATCGGACCATTGACTAGATACATCTCCAATTTTTTCGCCGGCATAGCGTAGTACATGATTTACTCATTACCTACTTCCTATGAATGCAAGTAGCATAGCCGAGTGTTCTGGCAAGCGATACTTTTGCCTCATTGGCGATCCCATAAAAATGCGATATTGGAGAGACCCGACCCTCCATGAAATTCACGGCTGTCGCCTGCTCCACAGCGAGGCAAGGCTGAATAAAATACAGTGAAAACGTAAAATAATATTGTCAAAATTCAACTATCAGTGTCTCATCATCCCAGTCGACTTAGGGGGACTAAAACTCATACCGACAAGTTGAGTGGACCTGTTCTGAGCTTAGAATTAATCTGAAGATCTTGTAAGAGAGTGATCCAGCTCTGGCAACATCTGTAAAGTGGCGTAAATGAACAAATCCCAGCCCGTCGCTACCGGAGCTGAAAGCGGATATCTCGTGTACAGCATTCATCTAGACATCCTAACAGAGTAGCGGGAATCCTCCATCGTCTTCCGGTCTTCTCCGGGTACCTATACACAAAAGGAGCGTCTTTACAACGTTAACATAAATACAGGATCGTTTCGATCGTGCCACATACACTCAACCGGAACTGAGAGGGGCACG